ATCAAACTTTATTATTTCTGAATGCTCATAAACTGAGAAATAGTGTTCCAATTCAAAATTCACACACTTTTTGCTGCCTCCTATATATTTTTCTGTAGGTAAAAATTTATTTGTCAATTCTTGTCGGCAAAAAATCCCCTGTGAGGCTATTTTAGTTTTTTTTTCTACTGTCAAAAATAAAATATTCTTGGGGGTGGTACTTTTCTAATGTGTCACCAGGTGTGTAGGCCAACATAGAAATAATGCTACTAATTTAATAAAATAATAACTCCATGAAATTATAATAGGAAAATATTCATTTCAAGTTTGCTTGGTATGTATACTATGTTTTCTACAGTCTGTTTTCAAGAAAATTGAAAACGGTTGTAGGATGCTCATAAGGAACAACATAATTTTGTTGGCATGTATTCATTCCATTGAAAACTATTATACAAAATGGTAGTCTACATGAAAAAAATAAGTTAGTTATTATGGTGATATTCAGATGAAAAAAGGGTTCATTAACACTTCTAGCATCAAAATCATTATTGTTTATCATGCTGGTCAATAATCAGAAGCAATTGACTGAAGAGTTTTATGGCAATTTCCAGATTAACTGATTTTACTCTCAAACAGGATTTTTTACTACTAGCTTTGATGTGAAAAAATGTAACCATTGAATATTATAGAGTTCAAATACATACACAGATACAGAAAACAACATGAGAAGAAATATAAAACTACTGGAAATACAGCATTTGGATTATCTTCACATTTTTATATTTGCTTCACATGAATGGTACCTATTGGTGATAATGGATGGTGATGAATGTCCTGCCAGATCAGATCTTGCTTGTTGTTTGTAGCAGGTCCTCCAGATCAAATGCATCACGGAATTATTATGTGATATATTCAAACAGCCATTGATGTGGTTGAATTTTCTTCATCTTTTCACAGTATCCTGGTAGATTTAATTTCATGGAAGAAAAAAAGAAGTTACAAGTTACAACGGATACTGCATGATGATCTAGCCATGCTATCGCCATCTAGTGGCGTTAGAAGGTAGGACCTTGTGGCCATGGCATACACAGCATGACGCTGTCATCTAGATGGCGATAGCATGACTAGATCATCATGCAGTATCCGGCATTTTCAAAATGAGTGATATACCCGAAGCGTTGAGCGACGAAGCTACTGGGTTAGCGAAACATGTCATGTGTTTGAGAATTTCGTGTAAATCTTATCGTTTGTGAAGTTTTTACAAAGTAAGATATGTATAAAACTTACATTTTTATAGTTCTGCTTCAAACTTTCCACAAAGTTACTCAAGACTTTCTTAGCCCTATAGTTCTCCAACTCCTTCATCCTCCTTTGTAATTTATAATCATCTTCTTTCATCGCTTGTTTTCAGCCTATGGATGAGAAAATATATTTCAAATTATTGTTTGAATATTTGGAACACAATTTTAAGAATTTCAATAACTTGTTGTTCAGTTAAAAATAACGCCATTAAATTCAAATAAATGAAAATTCAAAATTCTCCATCAAATGATTTACCATACTCAATATTATCAAAATTTATTTTTCCACACTTGTATGAAAGTAGATGATTTTGAATTTGCAAAGAATTTTCCTTTGATGAAATAAAATTGTCACATTTAGATATTTATACTTTTCTTCTTCCTTGATTTTGAATGGCCATGAATATATACTCACTCTTCTATAACTTTTCTACAAACCCTATTGAATCTGGGATGAAAAAAATTCCATATAACAAATTAGTTATTTTGTTCATGGTTCAACAATCTATGGAAATATATTTATATCCCAGATGGCATGAAAATTCTCAGAATTTTCTTCCAAGCTGCGGAAATGTCATCTTGTTGAATATTCTAAGGAATTTCCATAAAATATTCTCAGAAAGTTGCGAATATGCATGGCTTGTTTGGTGCGAATATTCTAATAATATTATGAAAACACATTCCTGGAAGCTCCCGAGATATAATATTCCAGAATGTTCATGAAATAATATTTTCAGCATATTGTGAACATTAATGGAATATTCCTTGCAAATATTCTGATGATATAGAAAAAAATTAATACTCTAGAACAACAACGTTCAAATATACCCATTTTGTAATATTGTGATAGAATGTCCTTAGAATGATCATAGAATATTATAATATTCAACATATTCACAGAATCTTTTGTCAAATAATATTCTGAGAATATACAGAATATTATCAAACTATGACATTGATGTCATTCTTGTATTAAATATACAAAGTGTTATCCTAACCCAACCTATTTATTAGGGGCCTTTTGTGCATACTACCCTACTGATGAAGTGTCAACATCTTGTCATTCATATACCTTAAGGACTTACTACCCCTGTAAAATTATCTTATCCATTCCGAAAAACTGTTTTTTGTTGGATAGGTATTCAAAATATCCATTCAACAAGAGAGTGATTTCATTCCTGGACTCTAATCATGGCCAACTGTGATCAATTTCATGGACCAATATATCAAAAAGTACTAATATGGATTTTTTTCAGAAAAAATAATGATGGATTCTGAATCAGCATCACTTGGAACATACCTGTGTCGATTTTCATCATCTCAAAACACAGGGTGTTTGAAAAAACGAATTATCATTATTTCTTCAAAATGTGATCAGAAAATGTAGAATAACTGAGGTAGAACGGATGACAAATCACTATTGAGAATTACTTGAAACATATTGATATCAATTCTCAGCATTCAAATATACAATGTATGAGAAAAACAAAGAAAAAGAATAAGTGAGCAATATTTTTTATCATAATAGTTCTTCACTAAAAAAAAGATGAATTCTGAATCAGAATCACTTGAAACATACCTGTACTCACCGATTTGCATCAGCATGAAATACAGGGTGCTTGAAAAGAGGAATCGACATTTTGAATACCTATCCAATAAAAAAAAAAGTGTTTTGATATCCATCAGATACACACTGTATATATATATATTATAAGCTATTTGGTACAATGGATGTTTTTTGGGATGAATAATGAAGAAATTGCATGATGAATATCAGCAAAAAAAATTGAATGGATGATGGATCCATTCATTCCTTTGAATGTCTCTCAAATTGAGTCACAATTGAATGTTGTTAGATTAATTACTCACCTCATTGATGGTCCACCTCTCAGAATAGGTATTGTCATACATTTCAAGCAAACATTTTCCACCAGGTTTCATAATGAAGTGATAATCTGGAAAATGAGCTGTGCAAACATGTATACTCTATATCCATATTGATATGATTGTCAGTCAGCTCCAAGAATTCTGCCCATTTTCTTCTCTTTTCAGAGTCCTTATAGGAATTCTACAATTTCAGGAAAGACTTGTGAATTTTCAATCAATATATTGATAGACTAATTCACTTACAAATGCAAAAAGGATTGTTGATATTTATTGAAAATAAACAGTGTCTAACTCAGCAATAAGAATATCAACATTTCTGAATGCTACTGAACATGTTATTTCAATATCAAACCAGTGAGATAATAATAATTGTTGGTACAGAAACACCAAATTGAGTATATTCACAGAAAACCTCATGACCATCAGAATCAGAAATTGCCTTCTTCTTATATTTCCAGCTGACATTATGAATTGATATCAATTTTATTTTTGATATTGATCACCTATTTGAAGATTTACATTTTATATCATGTACCTATCAACTGAGATACACTGTCATAGTTAACTTGGAGGTCAACTCCTAGACTTATATTATTATTTATGTTCTGTTTTTCCTGATATAAACATGTATATTATTTTGTTTCTTAGAAAATAATAGATTATTATTATTAGTATAATGCCATCTTGGGGACTGGCTGACTATTAGTATATATTTGTCAGAAGTGAAAGGTGGAAATAGAGATTCAATAACTAGGAAATGTCTAAAATGATAGATTGTGGAAATCAAGATGATTCCATAACTAGAAATAGCAAAACAGAATAAAATGACCACAAGGAGGTGGAAAAGCGTTGAGAGTGGTTGTGAACAAATAAATGGTTAATAAGAATATGCAATAATAGAACATTTTCTCAGTAGAAATATCCAGTCAACGGCACTTTAGTCAGAAAAGCTCCTTGAGTTTTTGATTTGAACGAAGCAGATACATAATTTGCTCACCACTACCACTCTTCCAGATCTTTCTTTGTTCCCCCAGATGTTGTCCTCTATAAATATACTCAATAATATTCGAGAGGTAGACACTGTCTATCAATTCATATATAAAATCTATAATTAAGATGATGGAAAAGTGGAATGGATGAAGGTATCAAACTCACCTGTGAAATGAACGGAAATTATTTCTATTACTCCACTCCGCGCTACAAACAAAACATGTCAAAACCATTTTCACCAAAAAAACTTGCACCACACTCTTCGGTAAGGAATAAGTCACGTTTATTCCTAATTGAATTATCACAATACAATCAATACACACCAGGAATAGTAATTGAAAATTATTGAAATATAGAAACTAGAAACGAAAATACCAAGACGCCATTTCTCAAATCTCAATGACGATTGACGTTGACGACAGTGTTGCCAGATGAAAAAAATATAGAAACCTATATATTGAACGAAAACATGATTATGGTTGATCTCTATACCTATTAAAAATCGAACAAAGGATAACAAAAAATAATAAAATGAGAAATAAAATTTGTATTATCCTCAACCGAACTGAAAATGAAATCTAATTTTTTACTAATCTGACTGAATATGATTATTCCGGTATATTTTTATCATACATCTTCTTACTGTGATGCCACAATAATTATTCATTGTTAAATATTAGGTAGTTATGTCATATTATAACATGACCATTCAGGCCATTGCCTTGAACAGTAGAGTGGTAGAACGTAGAGTCCCTGTATATACCTTAGACAAGAGTTCGGACACAGCTATACTTCTGTCCTTTTCTGTTTTCAAAAAATGCATTGATGATTGAATAAAGGAATAAGACATATATATCGAGCTCTGTCTTTTCAATTACCCTAGTATCAATGATTGTCAGAAACAATTTTGAGGGTTAGATTATTAGTCAAACCGTTCATACCCGTAGGTAGAAGTGAGGAATAGGGCTATTTTAACAAGAATAACTATTAGATTTTCAAATAATGAACAACAGGGTGTTCAATTCTTGAGATAGCTATTGCAAATTTTCGTCATCAGATATTTATTCACTTCATTAGATATAAGAAAGATAATAAAATAAAAAAAATAGAAGATATATAATTGTTTCAATATAATTTTCTCCGATTCTCTCAATTTAATAACACTCAGCAGAAATGAAAGTGACAAAATCAAAACAACAATATAACTTTATATACCTATATATGCCTTATAAACATTGATTTTTATATTTATCTCACAATGATATGTCAAAGATCCAATTAATAAACTATTATATACACCTAATAACTATACTTATATTAAACTCATGGTACATGTACTATATGGTAGATATAATGGAAATCATATCTAGGTACCTATATCGTCTAGGATTCCTCCGATGGTGAATTGAAAACGCCGTGGACTGATGACATAGCACATTGCAATTTCTCTAAATCTTCAAGTTTTGATTTGAAACTTTCAATTTCTTTTCGCATCATCTCATTTTCATTTTCTTTCTCTGCGATCGTATCATTCAGTAATTCCCAATACGATGACGACGGAACTCTTTTTTAGAACGTCTCTATTTCATAAATTGACGGCCTCTTTCAATTTGAAATCCATCAGCTTGAAAGAGTCTTTATCAAAATGGGCCTAAAATTCATCTTTTTTGTACTGTTTCAACAAGTAAATTTGTATGTTTACCTCACATATTGCGGATTCATTGAAATTAATTTTCCATTCTGGACGTTTCATTGCATTCTTCCATGACATTATCTTTAAAGGATCATTATTCGGAAAATTGAATAACTTGAATGACTTTTCTAATGAATTATTGCAATAATGTACGCAGCAGGACATTGAAATAATTTAAAATGCTGAATTTTGGCTGTCATTAAATTTCAAAGTGACAGTGACAGAAATTCGAAATTATTAAAAAAAGCGGGCGGGACGACTATGGTGTTTTGTCTCATTGTCAGGTAGGCAAACCAAATGGAACAAAATATCAAAAACCCCAACGGCTGTCAGTTTTGTGTCCGGACTCTTGTCTAAGGTATATACAGGGACTCTAGTAGAACGGAGACAAAAACAGTAGATCTACTGTTAAAATAGTAGGTCTGGCAACGATGGTTGACGAACGCCTCTGGTGGTCGACACTGTTGACAAATGACAATCGATAGAAAATCAATAAAAACCGAATGGGCCAATCAAATTTTGTGTCGGACCTATAGCCAATGAGACTTCGCTTTACCCCTCCAAATTTTGGATCTGAGATCCAGCGCATGTCTGTTAAAATCACAACTAAATGAAAAGGCCTATTGAACGACGACTGTGAGTGGTGATTGTCGTTTGTGGAACGCGTGTGCAGAGAATAAATTTTAGATTAGAGTTAGAGTTCTTGTTTTTATTATTCATTAAAATAAATTGTGTAGGTACACATTATCGAGTGGGTGTGATTGTTTGTGTAAGGGTATATATTCGACAACAATAACTACTGGTCCCGGTTCGTTTGTTACGGGATGATACGGATAAAGGAGTGATGAACATGAACTTCCTTGGAGTTGAATTCAGAGATTCCGAAGATGGCGGCGGTGGTGGACTAGCAGTTGTTCACTGCAAGTGGCTCACGCCGAAAAAAAAGGAATGCTTTTGGCCTGCTATAAAAAATCAGTCTAAATATTATAATATTTTGAGGAATGGAGATTCTCCGGATGAGAAACTTTGGACCCTTCACAAAATAGGAAGGATTTTTTTTGAATCTGGTAAGTTTTGTTCAGTCTTCACCAAAGATTTTCAAGAAAAATTCAACTGCATCGTGGCTAATGATGACGGTTTCACAATTATTATTCTAATAGAGTCTAAACGTGGTCTAAATGATAACTTGAGATTAGGGCAAATTTTGCGTTTGGAATGATAATAATTTTGCTAATAAAAACAAAATCCATATCATATCCTTATCCTCTAAGTATCATGATTCCTCACTTATGATTTTTTCACTAGATAATTTGGACAAAGCCAGAGAAAAATTAAAACAGGCTGAATTCACTTCTGATGTTCAGAGTGATTCAGAATTGGATAGCCAAACAATTAAAAGGAGAAGAATAGCACCCAGAAAATTATATGAGTCAGAAAGTGAGGAGAGTGAAACCAATGAAGAATTTTTAGATCTGCCAAGACCACCTCAGATCAAATCAAAAACTAGTGAGAGGCTGAAGTTTGGTAATTTATATTATTATTATAGAGATGAAGACATATATCTTCTTACATTCTGCATGGTTAATAGGAGATACTGAAATAATTCAAAATTAATGCTTTCCAAATGTTTCATTGAAGTATTTTTTTAGACTGATACATATAAACATTCATGACATGTCTATTTTTTTTTTCAGGTCAATTGTCCCAAAAAAAGACAACTGGTTCTTTCAGTTTTGTAGAAAAAAACAGAGTTGGAACACCTTCTGTAGATTCAAACCGAGATTCCATGACATCAACTCCAATTGTGCAAAAGAGTGATACGAACCAGATATCAGGTATGATTCTGCAAAGCTTTTTCAAAAGCATTGTGTTAGTCTAATATAATGCAATTTTTCAGGATATCAACAAACTCTGCGTACATTGGAATACATAAAGGAACAAAATAAACAGATCCTTGCTTTGCTGAACAGTCGAGGAGGTAGTTTTTCCAATCAAGCATCATATAATTTGGATAATTTGCCAGTTGAAATCCCATTATCTTCCAATGAGGACCTGAACATCCTGGAGAACTTTTTAAAAGAAGACCAGAACTTGAGAAATTTGGTAAGGTTATATCTCGTTTTCATGCAATGTATCAAGTAATTATAATATTTCTCCTTTACATTTTAGATGTCTTACTTATCTTCTTTGGGCGGAAAAGATCATATTGTGCAGACTAATAACTGTTTACGTCGACTGTTAACCAATGAGTTTTCTTGCCAGTTCAGCTTTATGGGAAAGAGAGGTGGAAAAAAAGCATTTTCTGACTTATTGTTAAAGAAGTGTGTAATTGGTGAGTATTGGTACAACAAATTAATTAAGTGTATGATAAACAATTTTTATAGGTGCAGTCACAAAAAATCTACCTCAAATCAAAGAACGAGATATAGAAGATGCCATTAAAAACTGGCTGAAGCATTCACCTCAGAGATATCACAATGAACTTTTGAAAAATCGTCGAAACACCAATTAGCTTATTTTTTTTTAAAATATGGATAAAAGAAAAATTGTTGGTAATAGACAAATTTATAGAAGGGTGAAAAAAGCTGTTGAACATATGGTGAGTGACTTGAATACTTCAAATAGTTCTTTACTATGCTCTGAATTTGGCCAAAATTCTGATCATAATATCCCCACTGCAGTTTCTGGGTCTGGAGTAGTTTCATATCAGTTTGAAAACACAATTCATAATGCTGATCAAAATTATCCTAATGGCTTTGAGTCAATTACAGATTCAGATCATGATTACAATGGGCAATCAATTGATAGTAATAATAATGATGATGCACCTGCCCTCAATAATGAATTGAATGAAATGTCTGTTGATTCAAACCTCTCAACCAGTCTAAAAAATTGGGCCATTGAAAGTAACATACCACGAAGGTCATTATCAAATCTCTTGAAAATTCTTCATCCTTTTCACACTGATTTACCCTTGGATTATAGAACTCTTCTCAAAACTCCTGAAAGTATTGAGATTAAAATATTACAAAATGGCGAATATGCACATTTTGGTTTGAAAAATGCATTGCACAATTTTTTGACCTCTAATGATGTTAGTGATGATGAACTTAAAATCAGTTTCAATGTAGATGGGATCCCTTTGTTCAAAAGTACCAATAAGAGTCTCTGGCCCATTCTGGGATTAATTAAAAATGGTGGTCAGCAAGCTACTCCATTTTCTATTGGAATATTTTATGGATCATCTAAACCTTCTCCACTGAAAGATTTTTTAGCTGATCTTATCCTTGAATTGCATGATTTACTCAGGAATGGTTTAGACTATGGTGGTAGGAATTATAATATTGCAATCCACAGTTTTGTCTGTGATGCACCTGCAAGGGCATACTTGAAGTGTATCAAGGGACATGGGGGTTACTCATGTTGTGAAAAATGCACAGTTATTGGACAGCGAGTTCCAGGTAGAGTTATTTATAGAGATATATCAGCTTCAAAACGAACTGATGAAAGCTTCAGATTACAGTTTGACAAAGAACATCATTTGACTACGTCACCCTTGATTAGGCTTGGAATTGGTCTAGTTTCAACTTTTCCCATTGATTATATGCATAATATTTGTCTAGGGGTGATGAGGAAATTGATGAACTTCTGGTCAGATGGACCCTCTAAAGTCAAACTTACGAAAAAATCTTTAGAACTTGTTTCTGATTATTTGATGTCACTGAGAAAGTATATACCAATTGAATTCAATCGAAAACCACGTAGCCTAAATGAGTTAGCTAGATGGAAAGCTACCGAATTCCGAATGTTTTTATTATATTTAGGACCTGTGATTTTGAAAGTTTCTTTTAATAAAGTTGTTTATGAAAATTTTTTGCTTCTACATTGTGCAATTTCTATACTCATATCTCCTATCCACATTTCACGATTAGGTACTAACTTAGCAAAAAAGCTGTTGGTTGCATTCATTAAGCATTGTGAACAGTTGTATGGATCACAATTTTTAATTTACAATGTTCATTTATTACTGCATTTGCCAGATGATGTTGAAAATTTCGGAAATTTAGACAATTTTTCCTCATTTCCTTTTGAGAATTATTTGGGTTATTTGAAACGACTAGTAAAATCACCAAAACAGCCTCTGCAGCAGATTTGCCGACGCCTAAAAGAAGTTGAAAATAGTGATAAAGTAAATTCCAATAAATCCGAGAATGCTTGTATCATGGAACATAAAATGGGCCCTTCAAATGACATCAGTTTGGATTGCAAACAGTTCAAAAAATTCAATTTTAATCACTTTAGTATATGTATAGCCTCTCATTCTCTTGCTGATTCATACTGCTGTTTTGGAAATAATTTGGTACAGATTCACAACATCATGATGAAATCAGATGGAGCAATTTTTTTCTTAGGCAAAAAGTATTGTTCACAAAAGCCGTTGTATGAATATCCTTTCAGCTCTGAAGATTTGAAAATATTTTTGATATCTGATCTGTCCATGGAACTGACTATTTGGAGTATTCAAGACATAATATGCAAGTGTTTGGTCATACCACTACCAAATACTGGTGAATTGGCAGCTTTTCCCATTATTCATTCCTTAGCTTGCTAGTCTCTAGCTCAACAGTAAGAACATAATATTATGTTCATTCAACATTGTAAGAAAATGTATATTTAATTTTAATTCTTACCTGTATGCCATTCAGCATTTTTACCTATTTCAACATTGTAAGAAAATGTATATTTAATTTTAATTCTTTCCTGTACGCCATTCAGCATTTCTACCTATTTCAACATTGTAAGAAAATGTATATTTAATTTTGCCATTCAGCATTTCTACCTATTTCAACATTGTAAGAAAATGTATATTTAATTTTAATTCTTACCTGTACGCCATTCAGCATTTCTACCTATTCTTATTTTTGAATAAAATTTTAAAAAACAGTTGATATAATTTGTTAGTCCTTCATTAACCTTATCTAAAAATGTTGTAATTCATGTACATTTCAAATTGTTTGAACTACGCAGTTTCAGAAAAAAAGGATATTTTCCACTTTATGGATATATTCAAAATATCATTCGAATATGTTGAAATAAAAAATTCGTTCAAGATTTTGTTTTCATTAATTCTATATTTATTCTGTTTGTGAAGTAAGATTTTTTCTGTATTTCATAAATTGATTAAACGTCTGAAGGCTAATGATAGGCCAGGCCAGCAGCCACCACGAATTTTTTTTATTGATTACTAACAAGCTGAAACTCCGTGAGTAGATTCGATTTGACGAGACAACGAACTTTTTCCTTTGTGAAATTTCTCAGTTTAGATCTACTAATTCTTGAGAATTTTCGCGCAAAGAAAAAAGTTGGTTGTCCCGTCAAACTGAATCTTCTCACGGAGTTTCAGCTTGTTATTAATCGATAAAAAAATTTGGTGGAGATTGCTGGGCTAAAATTTAATAAGAAAAAAGTCTGTCGACGTCCCTCAAAGAACGTATTTGGACGTCATTGAGAAGTCGTCAGTTCGACGTAATATTGAGACGTTCGTTAACGTCATTATTAGACGTCATATTACGTCGATTCAATGACGTCGATGGGCTGTGACATTTTCACGTATAATTAGGGTTAATTAACGTGTTTCACATGGTCAATATGACGTAACTCATGACGAAAAAAGTACGTCAATAATACGTGATCATGTTAGCTGGGATATGTGAAAATTCATAGTCATTTCGATCAAAGATCGATCTGTATAGCATGATAGTACTATATGTTGTAGGTAATGTTATAGCCTTGAAGAAAAAAGAATAGTACTCCTAATACACCCAGTAAACACACTGGTTATATTTACATACATATGCCGTCAATTCCATATAACGAATGTTCTACAACTCAATTCTCTCAAATTGACGTCGATGAACTGTAAATATCGTAGATACAAAACTTACATAATCATATTTCCCATTTACACAACATTCTTCCGTATTAATTATATAACATCTTCGTAACTATGATTATGTCAATACAATACCTCGGAAATTATGTCAATTTCACATCAATTTATTTACAACAAATTTATATTCAACAAACGTGACAACGACCAATCTAATTGCAGTATCTCTGGAGTTAGAAATAAAATGGCGTCAGCAATGTTACATTTTGTTGTGTGTTGTGTTATTTGTTACTTGACCAGCAATTATGCTGATAATTGATATTATCTTTCAGTTCCAGAAAATTGATTGGAAGGTGAAATACTCTATTTTGGTGAGTAGAAGAATTTGTTTAATGCATATTTTCCTGCATATATCAAGAAAAAAAGGTATCTAATTGTTTAATGTAGTCAGAATGTTGAAGGAATTTTGAGATATAATTATTGTTTTATATCATGTATGGTTTTAGATCACCAATATGAATTCCATGGGAAGCAGGGATATGAAGATCAAATAATTTTAAATGATGCTTGGCATCAGCAACTTTCACAAACGAATATGGGGTCCATAAACCTTTAAGAACATCGTACAACTTGTGTGTTGGTAAATTTTTACATTTTATGATGTATTTTCTGTCCAAAATGTATCAATTTGTCTCTTGTTATTCTTTTTTTATTCATAATACCATTAACCTTGCAATTATATAGGTGGGACGTAATTATTATCTAGATTCTGATGTCACATTGACATCTCATTGATGTAATAATAATGTAAGTAATATAACATGAAATTGATGTGATGTATATGAAGTAACGAACGTGTTACGGACATTATATGCACAAGTCAACTCATGAATTTCGAACCAACTTATTACCTCTTTTGTTACGTAACTTATCAACAAAATTATGTTTATGCGTTAGTTACGTGAATGTGTTTTCTGGGTAGGTAGGTGGTTATATATAGCTACTTACACTTTGGTAATTTCTTCAACACCAACACTATCTCGAATATCGTTCAAAATATCAGCTTCCATTCCAGTATAAATACCAGAATTATTGACAATCACAATGATGATTGGTAACTTATATCTGACCATAGTTTCGATTTCCATTCCAGAAAATCCGAAAGCGGAATCACCTTCCACACAAATCACCCTTTTGTTGGGCTCATTATGACGGCAATACAGAGCTGCTGCAATACCAAAGCCTAAGCCGACCTGAAAAAAAAAATAACATCGATCAAGATGTTGTGAGTGAATTAAAAAACCATATTCACATACATGCTATACATGTATATGTATATGTATATCTCAATGAGACAATGTAAAGTGTCATATAGAGGTACCTAATACAGTGAATATACTTCCAACAACCAACCTATTGAATAATAATTATTGTACAGAATTCCTATAAAATGATTGTAGCCCAGGCAGCACTGGACATTCCTAGAATATTCTCTAAATATGCTAAAAAGGAGGAGTATATATTCCGAATATTCCTAGAATATAAACATGCCTCTGGAACATCTAAAAGGAATATTCCAAAGTGAATATAGTCGGATATGTTTAGGGAATATTCAGGTATGAATATTCCAGGAATATTCACAACTGAATATTCTCTGTTGTATATTCATGAAATATTCCCAACTGAAAGTTCTGTGGGGTATATTCATGAAATATTCTCGACTGAATATTCTGTGCGGTATATATATTCATGAAATATTCTCAACTGAATATTCTGTGGTGTATATTCATGAAATATTCAATGAATATTCCTATGTTTCTCAACACATAATTACCAATCATTATTTCAGAGATGTGAGTATCAAACATCAATTAGATATGTAAGGGGATTTTGAAACAAAAAGTGTTTATGATCAGATTTATTCGAACAACGATCTCACAAGAAATTGATATGTACAACAATATTCAATTCGATTACTGGCCTAGTGTTCAAGGCGTTGCTCTGATACTCTTGAGGTCACGAGTTTGATCCCTACTTGGGTCTCTTTTTTTATTCTAGAATATGTTTATTGGAATATTCCAGGAACATTCAACATTGAATATTCTTTTGGATATATTCTATGAATATCTTAGGAATTCCCATTCGCATATTTAGAGAATATTCCACAGATATTCCAGAATATTCCAGATTATTCCTAGAATATTCCAAAAGGAATATGATAGGGAGATTCATGGAATATCTGGTGCTGTCTGGGAGCATCGTAGAGTATTCTGTGATCGTAGTGTCCGATGAAATTTTTCCGCCCCTACTTATTTATTGTTTAAAGGCATTGAAGCGACCGAATGTGTGATAGTTCGATATACATAAGTGGGAAGCGGCAAATCAATAAAATATGGGAACGGCCACAACAATACTAAGATCATTTATAGATACCCTGTATTTCAATCATGCCCAATCTACATGAGTATTATAATTATACTTGTAATACTACACATCAGAAATATTCTGATCGAGAGATACAGATGTTCAATATTTATTATACAATTAATTCTAATAATACTCATTCCTATAGCAACATCAGATTATACAGATTATTACACATATTCTACTATAACATTACAATTCTCCATCTCCAAAAAAAATATCACTCCTGTGATAAAATGATCTTATATTCGAGATATTCGCTGTTTCTTCCCATATTGGAAATGAACATATGATGAAACACCATCGATATATTTGACTTTCGAAATCTGGAATAGTCCTCTGATAACACAGTTTTTTCCGGTTTGTCGATTAATTCCTTGTCAAAATCCAGTCGCCAACCCTCAACATTGGTGGTTTGGTTTTTGGTGTTTTATTAGCTTGTTCCTGTATTCTTCTTTTATATTTTGATTGTTCTTCTGGATTTTTAATTGATTCATTCTCACTGCAATCTATTCTATATTTCTTGTCTGTAAGATTATATTTTTCCCATAAAGTCTAAAATTTGGAGAGCATCCCAAATATTCGGTATGCGAATAATTGTGGTGTCGAACTGCCGCCTCAAGACACTTCTTCCATCCACCTTTGAAATGTTCGAAGAACCTCATATATGTCCTCGGATTTCGCACAGCTCTTTAAGCAAGCCCATTACCAGCAGGATGGTAGGGGGTTGTATGAATCAATTTTATTCCTTCGGTTGTAGCCCAGTCATGGAAGACACCTGATGTAAATGCTGCTCCACGATCCGTTACAATGTTTTTCATTTTATCCTTGAATGGAAATTGACTTAGCAGTTAAGGAAATTGGCCATCTAACTAGTATATCTTTAAGAGTTCCTGAAGTTAAAACATACCTTGAAGCTTGATGATCTTTATGCACAATGAATCGCTTTCCTTCTAAATTAGTATTTAACTGCTTCTACCACAGCCAGGCACTCTTTTTCAGTATCTCGTTGATAAAGTACCGCGCCACAACCAAAGTGTATGAGGCATCTGTAGAGAGTTCAAACATCAAACGTGGGTCTGGGATCCTCAGAATAGGTTTCGAGGTGATGAGATTGATCAGAGTTTTAAAAGATTTTTCAACAATCTCAGATTCCGATTTTTTCGTATCACCGTCAACTTCTCTGCTAAGAAATATAACTTTCACATTTCTTCAGATTAATTTTCATGTTGTTGTTATCTAATCGTCTCAAAATTTCTTTAGTTTACATACTGCCTTCATTATAAGTGTATCCACCACACATGATATCATCTATAAAGAATTTCTTGCATAATACGTTCTAATTTTGCACTCGAATTTCTCCAACCAAATGGGAGGCGGTTGAACTCATACCCATATAGCACTCGACGTCCTGGGGACATCAAGTTTAGGTCCCATTTAGGTCTGAACGTCCGGGAACTTTTCAAGACGTACTGAAAACGTCCATTTCTGGACGTACTTGGTCCGTGAGATTCCGATGTACTGGGTACGTCCAACTCTGGACGTTATCGACTTTTTGTTTACGGGGTTGAATAAATTGTTTAATGATAATCGAAATCATTGCATATATAATTTCTACCCTCGATCTCTGAAATCTATTCATATAGCAACCTTGCAAACATAAACATAATACGATGCTCACAATAAATGCATTATTTACTGGCCCCACCAGATCACAAAACATCTATTTAGGTATTCTCTGCCGTGATTAACTAATTCTATAAAAGTATCGATGTGATGATGAGTCAATCGGCATTTGCCCATAATATTGCCTGTTGAATACAGTTAATCAACAAGTGTTCTTCAGAGTAATAGCTTGAGCATCTGCCTGGTGATCTAAAGGTCGTGGGATCGATTCCCGGTAGAAGCGTTTTTTTTTTTAAATTTTTTTCATTCAAAATAAGACTTTCTACTTTATCTAGATCTCTTTTTTGACTATCTGGGTGAAAAGAGGCGAATCTACGTTGATTTATGTATCCATGGTCCTGAATGGACGTACTGGAGGATGTACAAACGAGCGGAATCTGGACGTCTCCAGTACGTACCTGAACGTTGACCGTTCCAAATCTGGACGTACCCTGTACGTACGAAACGTCTTGGTCGGACGATCTCAGTACGTTTATACATGAATATTATGATATTATTATTTCTGGTAAAAGCAAGAAATCTGTGAAAAGTGTCGCAATCTTGCAGACAACCTAACACTAATATGCCATTATTACGCAGTCTGCGGTCAAGCGTTTTGGGATGAACAAAACACTGTCTGTAATTACACCATATTCTATCCACCTTGATACAAACAATAAAGCGCGTCGTTGAATTTTGACGTTTGTTCAGACTACTCAAAAAATAATCGCATCGAATACAATTTGAACTTCAAAGTCTTCAAGGTTATACATCTCAAACTTTCTGCAGAATAATCACAAATCTTTGTGATAATTATACAACAAATTATCGATGTACTTATATAACCCGAATATTTTAAAGTACTCATAGTATTATTCCTGATTATTTTCTTTATATGGTTTTAAAAACAAACGGTTGAATTTTGTATATTGACATTTTTTCGGTAGAGACCGTGGATTTTGACTAAATCAAGATCAACGTGAAAAAATTTCCTTCAAACGCACCGCCACCCTCTAGTTTAACGACAGTTCAACTGTCGTCAAGCAATCATCAATGTTTTGTAGACAAACAGAAAAAACATTTCAACTCACCCCCATCGTACCAAAGGTACCAGCATCTAATCGATGACGTGGCTGATTATTGAGTAACATTGTTCTTCCTATATCCATGGTATTGGCACCTTCACTAACTATAATACAGTCTTCTGGTAAGTTTTCGAATACATTTTTGAAAACCGCGTAATAGTTGAGTGGGACTGTTTCATCAGCAGCCATTGCCTAGAAGGTGCATACAGTCTGATCAGGATGAGGTTGCACAGCATGGTGATCTCGGAGACGAATTCGGTAATATTCCGAGGATCATACCAACGGGCTACCAAAATTCTCAAAATTTTCTTTAGTTTTTCACTTTTATCGAAAAAAGTGAATTTTTTGAAAATCAATTCCATTTCAGAGATACAAAAAAACGATAAAAACTTCCCCATAGCAACTTCTGATGAAATTTATCATGATGATATTGACGCGACGTTTTGTATTCGTTGAACCGTCAGCTACTCATTTTTTATCTGTTTATGTGTTCACAGATTCTGATAGCTCTTTCAATTCTGAACTCAGCCATGTATTACTCAAATAAGTGGTTTGAATTGTGTTTGGACATAGTTTGAGCCATCTTCAATGTGTTTTCGAAATTCCAAAGAGGAAATACCACTAGTTCTACTCATTCCTGATTATTCAGTGTCAAACCTTGATGATGTAGTAATTTAATACTGAAAAGTAAAAAGAAATATTTAATGAGTTATGCAATGCAGCGCTCCAGATTGTTTTATGGTAAAATGAATTCTTACAAGAATTATACCTAGTGTTTTCGCGATAAGACAAGTTGTCCCTGGCTTGTGATTGGTCAGATTATGTGATCAGTGAAATAGTCAAGGTGATTCGTGCACCAAAGAATCTATCAACATAGAATGATATTTGAAGCGCTGCATTGAATAGTTTACCTCGAGGTGTACCTGGGTGAAATATTTTTTCACTTCTCAGTATTAAATAACTACATCAATGTTTAACACCGAATGATCTGAAATAAGTAGAAATGTTGGCATTTGCTCTTTGGAATTTCGAAAAAAACATTGATGGTAGCTAAAACTAGGGTGAATTGTTCGATGGGCCTTGGTATGATCATCGTAATGCGCAACTTTTTTCCATTCAACCAAATTTATTATATCCCCTTCCGCTCCCGAGATCCCCATGCTGTACAACCTGTTTTTGGTCACACTAGCTGTATAATAAAAAAGGGTATAATTATAACAGGAAACTTTGAATTATTCAATCTTTGGTAGAAATCTATAGTATCAAGCTGGTAATTCTGAGATTACAATGGCAGAAAGCTAGAAATCGTTTCCACAAATTTTCATTTACATGGATTTCGAATTTATTTTGGATTCTTTGACCAATAGCCGAGCGGTAGCAAAAATCTCCGACGGAATGTGACGTTTATGAGAGCAACACACTGGCGAAGATGATCCCTAATAACACAAGATGTCCATTGGATATCTGTATTGTGTCTATTATATCTCCAAGGTGTCCATGGATACATTCTGGACAACAATAATAGGATTTCCACATGAAAATATCCATTGGTTGTCCAGGTAAAGTTATCCATATGGTGTCCATTCCAATGCCCCCTCTGATAATGTTACTCAACATAACCGTCTCGGGTATCATCGACGTCGTTCGGCTCCTTCGGTGACCACAGGCCGACAGGGTCAGCCGTGTCAGAGTAGTGATGGCGTCCGCCATTGTTATTGTTGATAACGTTGATGCATTGTCTGAGGCTACTGAGACTGATAATCTAACTAATCATTTTCAGACATATGTATTGAGAGACATTATTGTAATAATCTGATCCTCAATATGTGTGTGTGTGTGAATGGCGTCGACACTCGCTTGTGTTTTATCGTTATGCCATTTCGGTCGAAGAATAAATAGATCACTTGAAGTGAAGAGCCATCCCAGGATGTGAAGATATCGAAGAATTTCAACTAGTAGAACGGATCTGAAATTGAGTGCCTATTGTGTCAAGTCAACCAGACTGAAATGATGAAGGGAGGTGTCAATAGAAACAACATATCACACCAATCTGAAATAAAATATTATAGTACCTAGTGTTCGCTTGAATACAATCACATTTGAAATAAATAAAAAAAACAGAAACATAGATCATATTTATTGATCAGATCTTATTCCTAAATAATATGAATGCATACATTCAAAACATCTCATAAAATTCACCATATGGATGTCCAAGACAGATACCATATGGATGTCTTTAGCGGATACCATATAGATGTCCAGGACGGATACCATATGGATAGCTAAAAAGTTGGAAACGCGATATCCTATGGATGTCCATACGTCATCCAGTGTACACAAACTGGATGTCCTATGGATGTCCGAGATGTCCAGAGGAGGATGTCCATAGGACGTCCATTGGATCGAGTTGTGTTTTTAGGGGACTTCCAGGCGAACAGGCCGAAGATCGTCTCGGCAATCTTAATTGAGTGGAATCGAAGACACTGATTAACCTCAGCAAAATTAGTTTCAACGCAATAACGGAATTTCTAATGGGACATTTGTAGGCACAAACAACAACCGAGGAAGCTTAGGCTTAGAGGAGAATATCACCTGCAGATTGTGCGAGAAACATTCAGGAACACCCTATTACATATCTTGCTATAGTATAATGTCGTACATCACAGAACATCGAATATACTAGGATCATAGGCCCAGCAGGCTGTGGGAGAATTTCCCCTTCAAACTCATTGAAAAACTGAAGCTTGAGATCCTCTATGAACAAGAAAACTTGAGATAGCATAAGAAGATGGGGCACAATAGATCCACGACAGCTACCAATAAAACCTAATAATACATACAAATCTGAAGTTGGTAAGCTTGAATTATACACTGCCGACATTATTGTACATATATACCGAGTGGCTACGGAAGTATTGTCTACGGAATATCTCAGTTATTGTATGAAGTAGGTTTGTGAAATTTGGAGCGTCGATATAATGACATAAGAGCTAGAATTTGAGCATATTGACATGTCGAAGTTAACTTCCGGTCTGACCGGAAGTAACATCAACTTTCTTATTTGAATGGAAACCATATTTTTTTTCGTTTTAGTTTTATTCAGCGTTCAATTCCCTTTCTGATGACATATCACAAGTTGGTATCTAACCAGAAACTAGATCAGAAAAAAATTATTATTGAAATTCACCGAGTAGAAGAATAATAATTGGATTTTTTGGTATTTCATTTCAAAAAATGACTTTCTATTATATCATTAGAAAGGAATGGTTATGCTGAATAGTACAGGCAAGAAAAAGTTGTATGTTCCTATTCAAGTTATGGACCTACAGAGTATTGTTTTTCCCCAATTTTTCCAATATTTTTTTTGGCGGCTTTTCATAACGCCGACGAATGAAAATAAAATATCACAGTAGTAGCAACTGTTATCAAGTGACGTATGGTTTCCATAGCCAACTTTACAATGTTCGGCTTTCATTTTGCTTCCACGGCCTAATCTGTGAATTTCAATAATAATTTTGTTCTTATCTAGTTTCTGGTTAGATACCAACTTGTGATATGTCATTAGAAAGGAAATTGAATGCTGAATAAAGCGAAAAGAAAAAAAATAGGGTTTCCATTTGAAATAAGAAAGTTGATGTTACTTCCGGTCAGACCGGAAGTTAACTTCGACATGTCAATATGCTCAAATTCTAGCTCTTATGTCATTATCGACGCTCCAAATCTCAAAAACCTACTTCATACAATAACTGAGTTATTCCGTAGGCAATACTTCCGTAGCCACCCGGTATATAGGTCAGAATGTATATTTCTTTTTACCCCTCATCAATAATTCATTATTTTCAGTTTTTGAGCAGGAATACAAATTTCCACCATCAGATTATTTGATCTCAACGTATTTGTTCGGAACAGATGTTTTACGCTATATCTGCCAATCATCAATCAAAAGGAAATTGGTTACTTATAATGAAAATAATAATGTTTGACATTTCTCGTAGGTATTGAAAAACCCAAAAACACCTTTGCTATACTCGGTATACTTCTGTTGGAGGAGGTCATCATTCTTGATGATGGGGGATACCAACTATCTGTGTTTGAATATTGCATATTAGCTAATTTACTCATCGTTCAATATCTCTTTTCTGTTCGCCAAATGATTAATAGTCAGGTAACCACAAACCTTCACAATTCTCTGGTTATCTTGACATTTTCTTATTAAATGTTCCCACCATTCACTTCGTTTACTGAAAGTATATCTTTTTTCTTTCAGTTTCCTAACTATTGCCTCGACAGCAACCTTGATATCACTCTGGATAGCTACTGCAGCTTCGACGCTATTATGAAGTTCCTCAGCGGCCAGATCTATCTGGATTATTTTCACATCTGGCGAATATCTCTGAGGCCGGCCAAAGTGGAGCATCCAGTTCAAACGCGCTCCAAGAAGAAGAATCACATCAGCCTGTTGAAGCGCAGAAGACCTGAAAGTTTGAATCAAGCATCCATTTTTTTACTTCATTGTGTTCATTTTAATATGAATTTTCATCATGATACAGATTTTGACTAATAATGAATAAGGCATGAACTTTTCATCATGAAACGAATTTTCGGCCTGTAGAAACCCGTATTTAATCGCGTGGGTCCATGTTTTTATCTCGCTTGAGTTGTTTGACATTCAATTCCAAAAAATGACATTCAATAAACAACGCTTCAGAATGACAGGCAATTGATGAAAAGTTCCCTGGCATATCTCGGGACATCGTGATCTCGGGGTTAACGACAAAAGGTTGTTCTGACTATGCTTGTTCAGTTCGTCTAACTGGAATAGCTATTCGCGAGATTCACGAAGTGGGCGACATCTAGGTTACATAATACGAACTTCAAACTGGGGGAAAACAAACCGTTGTCTATGGATAAAGTGCATAGACTACATTGCATTCAGCTTGCTGTAGCTGTAGTCAAACTTGTCAATGATATGAAGTTTTGGCACTGTTGGTAGTGATGATGGTTGAGTTGGTTAATTTTTTTACATTATTACAAATACAAATCCATTGTTCTACAGGAGTTCATCTGGACCCCAACTTAAATTTAACTTCATGTGAGGAAGATTTCATCGCCGAAGTTTGTAGACAAAGTGCAAAAATGTGCCTTCTGTTGAAGTCTTCTGCCTCACACAAAATCACAAGATCAGCACGGAGAACTGTTTCTCCTTCCACTACTGGTCGGCTTTTTTGAATTGAGCAAAATATCTGCCAAAAGAACATCTACAACAGGCATTATTAGCGTTTTTGCTCGAATATTGACAATTAATGTCAAGAAATTTAAAAACTCATCACTCTTATCAGTACACAGTACACAAGCTAATGGCACTAATGGGATTGAGTCAATTGAGTGAGGATTCAGTTTGTTTTCCCCCAGTTTTCACGTGACTTTGACATGGAAAGATGAAAACCGAGCGCCACCTGGTAACATTGATTCCCGCGAATAATGATGGAATGATAGCCAGAATTTCTAAAAAGAACATTTCCTTTGGAAGTATTTATATAAAAGTGAAAGGTTGCCGACTTTCCTACGGTATTCCAATGATCACAAGAAATGCGTGAGTGTGGCATCAATATAACAAGGTAAATGGATCGTCTCTGGATGAAATCTAAGAGCATCACCGTATATTTAGGGTGCTTAATCCCGAAAGATACAGCATCTCACAGATCGAATCTGTGCCTTGTAGATCATGGGAAACTGTTAAGGTGTTATGCAGCTTTCCGCTCGGAATGAGAATCCGATATTTTGAGCAGCAGCTTGCGTTAGATCTGACATGATTTTCCCATAGAAGAGAATTACTGATGAAAATACCAGGCGGAGTTTTTGGTAATGATGGTACCAGACTTCATGTCAGACTTACTGAGTTACGCTCATCAAGAGAGAATACAGGCTTCAGTTTTGGTGGCGTTGAATTAAAATAAAATGTTGGTTGCCCACAGACGGTCATTTTGTTTTATATTTTCTAATAGCGTTGACCTGCCTTCGTCGTGAGTTCTAGTTTGCTGTGATGAAATAGGAATTCTGAATGAGAATGCACTATGATGGAGGGTACAGAGTCTGGATAGGGCAGGTGATGATCACTCCCAACAAATCATTCTGATATGAAGTTGGAACAGTGTTAGTGCGAACATTCAATCAAAATTATAGTGGCATGGTGTTTGCATTTTCAGTTACACATGCAGAATGCTTGATTTCATTATTTCCTCCACCTGCATTTTTATTCCTGTCTTGGAACTATATTTATACCCATTTGCGCTCTTATCTGATTTGGAAATTTGTATGCGGCATATAGAGATCATAGATAATAGTGGACCTGAAATTCATTATACTGAATTAGGCTTCCTTGAAGAAAAAACTGGCTTGTGTTTTAGTGGTGTTGAACTACTTTAGATCATTGAGTCGAAGCAGTAGAAGATGGGTTGTAATTTTCCAACAGGTCGATTATATGCAGTAGAAAAAAAGTTACTGCCAAAATGGATTTTTGTGGGACATCTGCATTGGATAGCTAGTGGTATATAGTAACAAACGAGATTCCGTCTACCAGTGGATGGAACTGAAATGGAACATGACAGAAGAAGATATAACTGAAATGGTGAGCATTTATGAAAGTCCTTGACAGCAATGGTGGTCATAAGCTTTCAGTATCTATATGTCTAACACCACAGGTAAATACTCTCCTTATTATTGTTAGATAGGAGCTTGATGCAAGTGAATTCCCACGTTGCAAAATTAGCCAGAGATATTACAATAATAGCGAATTCCATTAGCAGGAACAGGTGAAGTGTTTCTTCACTGAGTGTATATTTACCTCTGTTCAACACATGCGAGTAAGAAGAAAACATATACATTCAGTGCAGAATAACACTCCACCAGTTTCTGTCAATGGATTTCGCGATAGCTTTAGTTAGTTATGATCTGTAATGGGCATTATACGGATTATGGAACATTTTGGATACTCATTATTATACCTACATTGAATACTTCAATATTTCGATTGTCGTAAAAAATGATATCATATCATACTTTGAAAATCAACATTTTCTCAACTTACACATAAGCGCAATGAATATGATGATTTTTAGATGCCTGTATTTTACCTAGCTGAAGCTACACAATTTGGAGAAATATCTGGTATTACACCCTTTCCCATTGGTGTTGCCAAAAATGGTAGATCAGTTGACTGGATCAAATGTCTCACTTCATTTTCCGCTCTGGAATAGGCTGCACCTTTACCAACTATCACTAGAGGTTTTTTAGCTTGGGTCAAGACAGCAACTGCCTTTTCAATTTCAGCTGGATCAGGATATATTATTGGGATAGCCACAGGTCCATACTGGTTAGGAATTGTTTCTTCTGAGACACGACCTACAACATATTATCAGACATTATGAATGGATATAATTCATTTAATTTGTTGAGACGCACCCGATAAAATATTTGCGGGAAAATCTAGGTAAGCAGCACCGGGTCTTCCAGTTTTGGTTAAGCGGACAGCTTTTTCAACATGCATTGGGATGAGGGCAATACTTGGAGGTCTTGCTGAATATTTACAATATGGCCTTGCAAGTTCTACCTGCAATATATCAATAATCATCATGAATATAAATGCAGAAGCATCAAAGTATCTACTTAGTTGCATTAAAATGGGGCTACTTGATGAAACTTCTTGAAAAAAAGATGTATGATATTTGGAATCTTATTATATTGATATCATACATACTTCAACCAGAATTACAACGCAGATATTGAAAACAGAAACGAAGGAGTTATTGGCATTCTGAGAAAATAAGTCGCATATACAATACACGCTCTACAAGATACTATTGGGAACATAATCGAAGGACTTGAGCAAAGGAAAATCACTGCACTCACTTTATGTGACCTAACCAAGGCCTTCGATTGTGTCTCCCATGATATCCTCTTAGAAAAGTTGAATTTCTATGGAATTAGGGGAATTGCCCACTCTCTCATAGAGTCCTATCTGAGAAACCGTCAACAATGTGTCAGTTTGAATCATGTCAAGTCTAACTACAAAATGATTAATTATGGGGTACCTCAAGGCTCAGTACTTGGGCCTCTATTATTCGTCATTTATGTGAATGATATCTGTAAGTACTTGAATCACAGCAAATGCACTTTGTTTGCAGACGATACATCATTCATAACCTCAGAAAACACAATAACAAAGTTGTCAACCTCAATAGCAGAATTAGAAAACAGGGCTGAAGGATGGTTCTCAGCAAATAATTTGCAAATAAACAGAAATAAAACACAGAAATTACTTTTCTCAACGAAAAAAACTCCAGGTATTTGCTATGAACCAGAAAATAATGCAAAGTTATTAGGAATGACAATAGATGACAAATTAAGTTGGAAAAGTCATATTGAAAATCTGAGCAGCAGACTATCTAGCACAATATTCCTGTTGAGGCAATTGAAAACCATCACCAATTTATCTACAGTTAAAACTGTATATTTTTCCATGTTTCACTCTAGAATGAGCTATGGAATCATTCTTTGGGGCAACTCATCTTATGCCATTAATATTTTTCGACTTCAAAAAAAAGGCATTGCGGATAATTGCAAACGCTGATTATCGCGAACATTGCAAACCACTCTTTATCAAATACGGAATATATTGTCCCTCCCTTCACTGTACATTTATCAAACGCTCATTGAGATACACAAAAATGTTGACAGCTTCACCCGTCAGTCAGATATACATAAGTATCACACGAGACATGCTAACCATATTCAAACACCACGGTATAGATTAGTAAAATCCCAAAAAAATTTTATGAATATCCAATTATACAATGCACTACCGACCACAATAAAATCTACGGGAAATCGTAAGTTCAAATCAATAATGAAAAAATATTTCCTGCAAAAATGTTTTTATTCCATCGAAGAATATTTGCAAACAATTTGTGATGACATGAGTTTTATTCTTTTAAAATCTCTGAGTTCTGATAGCTCCTGTTTTTGATTGTGAGTCTTTGAAATTATATACCTATTTAATGTTATGCTTTCAAAATTTGGTGTGTCTATATACTATATACTTAATTTTATTTATACTTGTAAATGTTTGGAGGTATTTAGCCTATCTTGACTTGCTACCAATATATGTTATATATATAATGTAGTTAAATAAAGCTCTATCTATCTATCTATCTATCTATATAATGGAAGCCTCAAAATGAAAAACAGTAACAGAGTTAAGACAGGTTATGAATAAGGATGAAGAACCAATTTAATCTACGGCACAGCGATTTATTTGCTTTACTATTCTGGACATACTTTCGTCATGTGATAACGAGTTGAAACAAGAAGCAAATAGAAGGGGATGATGTCGCCTTTGCGAATATCCAAACGTGCCACGATTCAAGCTGATCTAAGTTAGTGGCAGAGCTTCAATACTTTCGAGAATATTTTGAACCCCTATAATATCTGATGGACCAGTGTACAGGCTGTCCCATTTTCGATGTCCTTACGGGATATCTCGCTTAATTTTGAAGATAGAGATTTGCGGTTTTCGCGAACGTTAGCTACTTTTTTGTGAAACTCACGAAACCGTGAACAAAATTTCCATAGCCCGCTTCGTTCCTGAGATACAGGGCGAAATTGAAAATATTTCATTTTGGGACTCCCCCTGTATCTCAGCTATCTTTCAACTTATCGGAAAAGTAAAAACTGCCACTCATACAGTTTTTTACGTGGAATCCAGTGGCGTAGTCAGATTTTCGGAATAAGCTGTCGTTATTTAGATATAACCCAAAGTTATGTTTTTTTTTAAATAGAACACCCTGTATATTTTTCAATATTCGAAACAAAAAAGCTTTGCGCTTCTCAAAAATATATAACACTTATATGATATTTTGAATATTAGTCCTGTATTTGGGTAATTTTCAGTTTTTTATGGCATGTCAAGACAAATAACTTCTACTTTTAGAATAGATATTCTGGCGCAATAATTAAATACCACTCATTTATATAGGGTAGAATGAGAAGTATTCATTTAAAATGATTATACAATTAACAAATTGATAAAAACAATTTGATGAAACATAAAACAATTTGATAAAACAATAAATTCAAACACTACTACAAAACAATTCTATTAATTTTTCTCCTGTTGAAAATGTCTTATGAATATTGTTCAAATTGCTGCCCATTCTGTTGAAGACACAGCCGACATCTTCTGAGGATAGCGTCAATCGACCGGAGTAAAAATATAGGTCTCATACGTAAATATTCGAAAGCTTCTCTCGTAGCATTCATCAGTGAATCTCGATCTTCATGCCGCGTGTGATATATTTTATTTTTTATATAGCCCCATAAGAAGAAATCTAATATCGATAAGTCGGGGGACCTTGGCGGCCAGTGAATGGGACCATTATTACCAATCCACTGATTTTGAAATCTTTCATCAAGATAAACCCTGATGGCACCCAAGGATTATAAACTCTAGAAGGATTGCCAGATCCCGCAAAATCTTCTGCCGTGGTCACGTGATAGGGTATCAGAACTACGTCATCACATTGATCGCAATATGGCCGTCAAATTGGAAAATTATTTTTATTGTATTTATAAAATATCTCAAATAATGAAATTGAGGGACATGAACTAGAATAATCAACTCTGGGTGTAATTGGAAGGTAATCGTTGAATGGTCTCACAGGCTCACAGGTTAGTGATTCAAATAATTATTATGTAATGTAATATTTTTGTTGCACAAATTACGAAAATGCATTTATTATTCATTGAAGTTTTTGGTTGTTTCAGATACTCTCAATAATAATGGGAAACCGAAGAATATCACATGGAAAAAATATGGTCCATTTCATCAACTGATGATAGTGATGATATCAGTAGACTTGGGATCATTGAGAATGCTAAGCAGGTATGTTAAACAAATATTTCTCTTCATAGTATAATTTCATCTTTGCTCTCATGTTTCAGTGAACTAGAAATAGATCTTTGACAGAGGAAGATGTATTGAAAGCTGATGGTCATTAAATATGTAGAGTAGATGAAGCAATAGCAAACACATAATAGGTAGGTATATAAAACTTATGTTTGCAAACATCATTAGCTCTTGGACAGCCTACACATTCTAAAGCATAAAGGTACTTGGCAAGCAGGAATGTCTCAGGATTTTTCAAACATATCTTCCCTATAAACAGGTGGTGTTATTTTTGTTGTATTACTGGTTCATCACAGCTCAGCAATGATCTTTTGAAATTTCAGAAATGAAGACTAAATGTGAGCTGTACAGATCTGAAGTAGAAAATAGAAAAGAAAGAAGAGGGTTCAGAGATAATGTTTAATATTCTGAGTGGATACATTTAAATCTCCATTAATTGTTAATTGAAACCATGTTGCAAGGCTATATTAGAGTATTTTATGGAAAATATGCATTAAAAGTTGCTATTGAATATCCACAGTGATTGGCAATATGGAAAAAAGGAGATAAATGAAAATAACTGGTAATTGAATTTTTGACATAATTATCATCTGATACTCACTTTGAATTATTTAAGGTTTACTTTCACATGATAGGAAGAATACTTGGAAAATAAACTGGTTTTTCCAGGAAAGCTTAAGAAATGAATTTGTCAAGCATCAAGGAAGCTACAACTTTCCCTACCTGTAAGTTGAATATGATTGTAGTACATAAGTATTTTAACATATAAAATTGTAGATTCCTCTAGCTGAAGTTGGAAACATGTCACATTTTAACCTTTTAAAAATTATCAAAATCTGGAGAAAAGTGAGGATTCCTACTTTCCTTTAAAAGTTAATCAATTTGTCTCACAATATTCCTCCAGATGGAGTTATTTTTGAGGATGAAATGATTGTAAAAAAAATCAAAATTCAGCTCAATTATTTTAAATTAATTAAATTTTCAGGTAAATAAATGGTTCAGAGAAATTTGTGGAACTGTGTAATTACTCAATACATGAATAGTGATACAAGAGGAAAAACATACACATTTTGTGGAGGAGGACCTTAGTAAAATTGGAAGGCACCCAATTTTTTCAGTGTATTATTTTCCTTAAAGTTGTATAGCTAGTAGTACAATAGTAAAATTCAAAGAAATATATTATGGATGATGATTTGTAAAGAATGTTTCAAGAATATGTTACATTATCATTTCACTAATTGTAATGAGTATTGTGATTAAATTTGAAAATTATAAATTTGATTTTCTGAAAAAACTTTAATTTCCTTATTGGTCTATAGGGGAATACAAACAAGACTTGAAATCAATTCATTTTATTCAGTGGGAACAGTAATAGTGGAGCATTTGCTTATATTGGAAATAATTGAAAAGGTAACAACTTCTGTAAGTATTTCAAAGTATCTGTTTTTGTATATTGAAATTTGAAAACCTATAAGCTCTATGGCTAATCTGAAACAAAGTTATTATGTTTTGATAAAATAGGGCCAACTTTCCTATCAATAACAATTTTCTTGAGTAGGTATGAACATTGTAGGATACATTTCAAGCAATTTGATCATAAAAATAATTATCTGCCAGATTTTGTTCAATAGCTGCATTGCTAATCT